TCACGTCCAGAAAGTTTTCCGAGGTAGATGTCGAAGAACTTAACTGGCCTCCATAGAGTCTAATCTTCAACTGTATCCAACACCTTGTACTGGATGTGTTCAGGCCGTATCATGTTTCTTTTGTTACCCTGTGATACAAGTGACAACAGGAAAGCCTGCCTTTTTTATTTGGGAGTATAAAACTATTCAGTGCCGTTGCTGAATTTACTTTTTTTGTACAGTACTGTGATGTAAAGTCATAACATTTGCAATTGAGTTGGTCTTTGCTAGTATTACTGAAAAGGAGAATATTTCCATTATGCTACGTTCACACCAGACGCGATGGGAATATTCGCTTCACTCTAAACGCTCCTATCGCATCGCTCTAGTCGCTCGAGTTTCACCGCGGCTGCCAGCTGTGTTTACTCCAAGCGGCAAACTCTGGGGAACAGCCGGGAAGCCAATACGGAAGTGCCACACACTGCAGTTCATACATGGGCCGCTAGGGACTGGCTGCAGAAAGGAGCAATTTCCATAGACCCCCATGTTAAAATGCCCAACTTTACAGCAGAAAAAAAACATGTTTCTACCCATGGATGCAATAAATATTATTATCGATATAGTTAGATTCCACCTTCATGATTATGAATCTGTGAGTGAATTGTTTTCTAACACAACCAAGGGGTAGACCTAGGACCAGGTGGAGGGATTATATCTCTTCGCTGGCCTGGGAGCGCCTTGGGATCCCCCAGTCAGAGCTGGTTGATGTCGCCAGGGAAAAGAAAGTTTGGGGCTCTCTGCTGGAACTGCTACCCCCGCGACCCGACCACGGATAAGCGGGAGAAGATGGATGGATGGATGGATGAACACAACCCTTTTATTTATATTAGGTCTTAAAGTTTTTACATAAATTAGGGCGTGGTCACATTGATGGACACGTACATGCCTCACTGTCAGCTAACAGCAACTTGTCCACTCTGCTAGGCTACAACCACAGAGGCGACAACGTTAGTTAGTCATAGCACTGTACTTGACCCTTTAGCTTTAGCCGTGTTCGTGGTGATTGTGCCTTTTAGAGAATATTGTTACAAATACCAGACAATTAAAATGTCGTGCTGTGCGCTTGAATGTACTAACAGAACTCCAAGAAGTCTAAAATGATAATATTATACATGTTAACCCCGTTCGCAGGTGTTTGTGTGCTTGGTAGCTTAGCTTGTTACTTATTAGCCAGCTAAGGACGTAACCCTTTATGCATACATATACAGTTTAGTTTATGATTCAGCCTTGGGTAAGACTTTTATAGTCTATGGCTATGACGCCCATAATGCTAAACGGGAGCAAATGTTAATAGGGGACCCAATTATCCCAGTGGTGGCCGCCGGAGCTAACGGAGCCGCAGGGGGCTAGCTCCAGCCGGCGTCCCGGAGCTAGCCCACTGCGGCTCCGTTAGGTCCGGGCGGTGGAGTCCGTCTTTTCTCAACGTGTGAATGACAAGCATTAAGAATAATAAAATATAGCTAATTCTCTTGCAGATTGTCTCATTTGATTATGAATGTAACGTTTATATAGGGGAACTACACTGTTAGCAGTAACTTGGTATGCATGTATTTCATGTTAGCTTAGCTTCTTAGCCTGAGCTAGCTCTGTTTACTTCCAGTTCGGAGGCAGCAGGTCCCGCCTCGGCTCCGCCTCTTTGCCCTTATTTGGAGCAGGCGGGATTAGACTCTGACGTTGCTGTCAAGCCGTTAGTGGCCGACTCCGCCTACTAAGGGCTTCACGGCAACTCTGCAGAATCCTATGGGTGACGTCACGGACACTACGTCCATTTATATATACAGTCTATGGTTTACTCGCATCATTCAAACAAGACGCGCTAGCTCGGGAGCTACACCTACAACAAAATGAACATATTTTACCGTGATTAAATTGTAATACACGTTTCTAAATGATGCCGACGTAACAACATACTGATACCGGTTAGTAAAAACCATGAATTAATGCTTGACAAGTCTGCAGACAAGACGGCAGGCGAAAAACCTTTTAAAATGCTTGTTTTCTGAATGGAGATTGGGTCAACCAGGCTAAGCTAACGTTGTATATGCTAACGCCACACTCATAACAACGGCCTACAGACATAAATAAACCAGCGACTGTATTCGCCATGACACAGACAGTCTGTGGTTTGTTCTTGTTTAACTTTTGTACAGTTTCTGAACAGATATGAGGAGCTGTGATCTCTGTGTGCTAACTGCTAACAGCTAATGGCTGATGTTTTCTGGTTGAACGTCAGTGACGGCAGGCTGAGATCCTCACCGCTGATTGGCTTCCGCGAGAACGCGTCACGTGAATATAAAACTATTCAGTGCCGTTGCTGAATTTACTTCTTTTTTTTTACAGTACTGTGACGTAAAGTCATAACATTTGCAATTGAGTTGGTCTTTGCTAGTATTACTGAAAAGGAGAATATTTCCATTAAGATTGACTTTATTGTGAACCTCAGTAGAAGATTGTTTTCTGCTTCTCCCAAAGGCATGTATCCAACACACCATCAAAAACATACAAATGTACAGTAAACAATAAAGAGTTGCACGTTGTCGGGGAAATAATTTGTTTGCAATCTTTTTTTCCTGATATATAGGCCCAGATTTCAATGTGAAAAAATAGAGAAATTGTCAACCTAAAATATGTAAATGTTCAATTTGAAAGCATCAGTGTGGTGCCTAGGAGGCTAGATCTATAAATAGATGTTGCAATAAAATCAGCCCCATAATGCAACATTTAAAGGATGAACTTCATGTTTGAAGACCTGTCGGTTAGACGACCAACATGGTCGCTGACCCCTCACTCTAAGGAGAGTCCGCCCTGAAGGGCATTGTGAGTTTATCTGCCGCCATTGCACAATAGTCTTTTGCAGGAATGACAAAGTCGAAGTTCTGTGACGATAGCGGAAAGATTAGTATGCAGCCCTAATACAACATCCGAGGCTTGAAGGAGAAAACCAAAGAAGCCCACGCCGACCAATCACAGTGCTTCCAATTCCCCGCTAATTTTAAATTGGGGGCCAGAAGGGGTGTAACGGTCTCCGTATGCGTCCCGTACCGTCACGGTTCGGACGTCACGGTTCGGCACATGTAGTCACACGACGAATACGCCTTTTTTTTTACGAGTGGGAAAAAAGTCTGTCATTCCGGGCAGCATCCGTTACACTATTTATAATCCAGGGGGCGGTATTGCGCCTAAAAGCTGTTTGCCAGCCGCCCTTAAACAACAAATGAAGAACAAGAAGAAACACAACAACAAAACGAACAAAATACAAGAAGAAGAAAAGTTAGTATGGCGAGTTCAGATAACACACAGGAGCTAGAACCCACCTGCTTCTTTTAAATCAGCTGTGTGGGAACATTTCGGGTTCCCTGTGGACTACAATAACGATGAAGTGTGCGAGTGGTGGATCGGATGAGTGGTGGATTGGACGAGGACGGTGTGTCGGCGTTGTTCGATAGCAGTGCAGTATGCTAATGGGAACACACGCCAAACATGCTAAATCATATCAGAAGGCATCACCCAGATTTGCCAATCACCGGAGCCCGGCAAAAGACAAAAACAGCTGATCCCCGCTGTTTTTAATAAACCAATAGACATGAAAGCCGAGAGACCAAAATAAATAACGGAAGCTTTTGGCATATGTTTTTCAACGTCTATGCGCCCTTGAAACAATTACTTATTATTTATGTATTATTTTCAATACATTCTGAGTGTGTGTGGTACTGTTTGTGGTTTGTTTTTAACTGTTTAATACAGTTAATTATTCAAAATGTCAGAGTTCTTTATTTTTAAACTGAAACTTGCACTACTGTTCAAACATAAATAACAACAAACCTGGAATTATGCATTTGGGACTTTTTTTTGCTTTTTCTTGTTGTACCGAACCCGTACCGAACCGTGACCCCCAAACTGAGGTACGAACCGAACCGTGACTTCTGTGAACCGTTACACCCTAGGGGCCAAGTTAGCTAAAGCAGCTACTTACATATATTATGTGGCTAAACTTTAACAACTTAACACTCAAGTATAAGTGAACTTGAATCTTCTTGTGACTGAATTAAAACAAATCCCTGCATTTAGCTTCCAAAGTTGTGAAGACTCAATGTAGGTGGTTTTAGAATAATATGATTAAACATGTAAGTTAAATTAAATAATGTTATAATTGTAATTTTCATGCAGAAGCAAAAACAACTTCAGAAAGAAAAGGGGAGAGCAGCACATAAAACAAAACAAAAAAAAGATCAATTAAAAGTCCTTTGAACAAAGGATTTTCTTGGAAACTTCATTTATGTTGGAGTTAGCATGCCAGATACAGTGTCTGTCATTTAAAAAAAGAAGATTCCTCAGTATCGGGTTACTCCACAATGTTGTATTAGACCCCTCGAGGCCAACATGTGTGTTTCTGAAACAAACGTAATACTGTTGATGAAACAAATTGAGATGGAAATAGAAGTGGGAGAAAAAAAAGAGTGAGTTCTTGAAACTGAAAGGTTCTTTTTCAGTCGCTTTGGTGGTCTCAAGAAGGGGTCTCACTGGATCTTGAACCCGGTGCATAACACAACAGGGGGGAAATGAGTAAGAGGTTGAGTAGGAGGGGGGGGGGTGAGTGGGGGGTCCTGGGCTGGGGGTTACACCACCAGAGTCCCACAATTCATCATGCTCTGGCACCGACGGGGGCTGTCTGGACGGAGCCGAGGAGGGGGATTGATGGCCAGCGAGACTCTGTGACCTCCCTTTTTCCCCGAGAGAGGGGATAGTGTGTGTATGTGTGTGTGTGTGTGTGTGTGTGTGTGTGTGTGTGTGTCAGAGTAATCATCACCATCCTACATCCAGTACGTCTTTGTGAGGACGACACGGAGACGATGGCTGCAGGTTTCTCCTCCTCAGATTAGACGTGACAGATAATCTGTTTTTCTTTCCTCCATTTCTCCACCCCCCTTTTGTCTCTCTATCTCTCTTTTTCTTTTTACCAGGACTACCTACAAGGCGACAGCACCAAAGCTTTCCAGAGGTTGGGTTGGAAGCCAAAGGTCACTTTTGAGGTGCGTGTCACACAGTTGATAGAAAATGTATATGATGATTTGAATGAGGAAACCTTTCCACACAAATACAGACATGGAATGATTGGAGTTATAATATGTTGCCACAGAAAGGACTGTCCTAAAATGAAATGCCAAAGAATACCTTTGAATTAGGACCGGTCTGAAGCATAAAGGACCAGGAATGCTGTAACTGTGACTCTCTATGAATCTGTATTTCTATATGTATCTACAAAGGTAGACGGTGGGTGGAGATAGCATGGTATGTGGGTTGGATAGTGAGATGAAGGATAATGGTATGTCTTAGTGACTGAGCACCAGCCCAGTTTTTGTCATCAGACTACTGACGCCCATAACATCAAACAATTCATTAGAAAATCAACAAATAAGCATCTATTAAAGGCACACTTTTAAGTCTCAGAGTAATTATATGTTATGTTAGGTGTGACTAAATATACAATATGTTATATGGAATGGAATATAAAGTGCTACCTTAATAGAACATTTTTTTTAAAGGAAAATAATAAAAGAGAATATGTTTTTCACTGGATTCCAAAATATAGCAAAGCAACATATTTAACTAAATTAGCTCGCATATTTAGATATGAACTTTATCAACTGAAAACTAAAACGTTGACTTTAGCATTATCACTTTCAACTAACCTCATACGGTTATGTGTAATTAAAACAACACAATACATTTAATTAAAGTTAAAATGTCAGCTTTCTCAGTGTATCATGCTTGACATCAGGCAACGGTTTCCAAACTTAAAAGCAAAGACCCAAATAACTTTTTTTTTTAATTGTATTTCATTATAAGCATTAATATACACAACTTAATTTTCACATCATACACTGTAGAGACTGAAGGGCTGCATATTGTTAAATATTATGTTGTGTTACTGCTAATACGCTGCCTGAGATTGATACAAGTTCTCAAATAAACTCTGACCTGACTGTTCCTTTTCATTTAGTTAGATTTTTCCAAATTCAGTGCAGGGGATACATTTTGGTCTGTAAAGCATTAAATAAATGTTGGTTCTATATCTGGCCATAATCACCAGTCAATAAATGACTAGATAATGTTATTGCTGATACTGAACGGGCATTTGTATTAATGGCAGTCCTGCGTATAGATAAAGCAGCTTTACTGGGTTTTTGTTACTTATTTATGAAGCCTTCCCTATTCATGAAACTCAAACAGCGTTGTGTTGCCTCTGCAGGAGCTGGTGAAGGAGATGGTGGATGCTGACGTCCTGCTCATGAAGAAAAACCCAAACGCCTGAGTCCAAATCAGTCATTCCATCCATTTTAGCACTCCAGTTCCAAACGTGGCGGGAACATGCTGTATTTTTATCTTGGTGACATTTCCAAATGAAGTAACTGAGTCTTTGTTGAGAATTAACGTAACCTTTCATTGCAGTCTTATGTCTATTTCGTTAAATGCATTCTATGATTTCTAGTCATCATGTCATTTGAATTCCATTTTGTTATCATGTAGCAGGGATGCCTTTTATATTTCCACAATCATTTCCACATTTTAAGGGTTTATTTTGATTGTAATTGATTTACATCAGTGAAATATGTTGTTTCTGACAGAGGATGAAACGGCAGAAAATATAAATGACTGAAATAATGAAGTTTTTATCTCTTTTTGGAAAATACAATTGATTGTCTGACATTCAATGAACACATGTTTCATTAAATAAAGATTGGTCTTTTATATGTTGTCCGAGAGAGTCTTCAATGCTAAACAACTGTGATGTTGTTTATGTGATTATCCTGTTAGGCCTGCCATTGAAGGTGTGTGAATTGAAGGCAGCAGCAAGCAAATCTTCGTGCAGGATTTAAGTGTGTGTGTGTGTGTGTGTGTGTGTGTGTGTGTGTGTGTGTGTGTGTGTGTGTGTGTGTGTGTGTGTGTGTGTGTGTGTGTGTGTGTGTGTGTGTGTGTGTGTGTGTGTGTGTGTGTGTGTGTGTGTGTGTGTGTGCCCAGGTTGTGCAGAGGTCGGCTGGCTCAGCTCCTGTCGTTTCTCTGCAATTTGCTCGCTCCAGCTTTCCAGGGTTTTTTATTTCCGAGCACACTGCGCTCTTTTATTCGGCAGGAAGTGTGTTTCTGCCGGGTTCCCGGAGCCCCAGAGCCCCGCTCTCAAACGCCTCTTGTCTGGCTGCAAATGTGGAGGGTGCAGTGAGCGTGCAGAGCCTGCTGCAGGGAAAACCTTTCCTCTAACAGCAGACATTTAAACCCAGTGAGATGCATCCTCTCGCTTCAACAAGCAGCACGGTTTCCCTCTTCTCAAGTGAATTTACACTTAATTACAAAAGCGTATCACAATAGCGTCTGCACGTGAATATTGCTCATCTTTAAAGATTTGTATCTTTTTAAAGATCACTTTGTTTAAAAAAAAACTGCCTGAAATAAAGAAGCCACTTTTAGTATCTGTTTGATACATTTTTATTTTCTTACACTGAAAAAACTGAAACGTTGACTTTAATTAAAGGTATTACGTCAACATATTTCTACATAGCTACATTAGGTTGGTTGAAAGCCATAATATTAGGTTCAAACAAGGTTCAACTTAATTACTTTAAACTAACTTATTACAGTCATGTGAAATTTGTTGACATAATACATTTAATTAAAGTCAACGTTTCAGCTTTTTCAGTGCAGCTTCCCGGATTATAAAATGTATTAAATTGAAATAAAAATATTCACAAACATATATTAGAAACATATTAATTACATGTAATAACATCTTTGTGATTTATCCTTGGGACATTATTTCCATAAAGGTTGTTTGTTTATTGTATTTGAGGGATTTACCAGTGTCCAGATGTTTACTGCAGCATAAGAAGAGCATGTGACTTAAAAAATCCTAGACAATAAAAAGTAGGCTGCCAACAGAAAAATAAATATAGTTAGTGTTTTATCATGCATGCAGAGTTGCTAGTGTGATAATAGCCTATATTGTTATATATAATATTATTAGATTACTGAGTCTGATACATAAGTTGCCGCTTTTATGAGTAGTATAAACCGTTTATATATATATATATATATATATATATATATAGGTCAGTATAAAGCAAAGCATTGTGGGATATTTTAAAGCTTTTCTTATGTTACACTGAAAATACTGAAACGTTGACTTTAATTAACAAAACAACAAATGTCACATAACTGGTGATTTAAAGCAATAATATTAATTTAAACCTATTTAAACGTAATATTATTGCTTTCAACCTAATAGTTGTGTGAAATGTGTTGACATAATACATTTAATTAAAGTAATCGTTTCAGTTTTTTCAGTGTGTAAGAAAATAAAAATGTAGTAGCCTACCTGTGACGTAACAAAAGCTGTCAGGTAAAATTACTAGCCTACAGCATAAAGTAGCTGCAAAATAGAAAAGAATGAAGTAGGCCTATACAAATTGTACTTTATTACATTTACTTAGTTATTTTCCACTGGTTTTATGTTGGAGTATAGTGGTTTGACATCCACCTTATGGGGCTATGTGTGAGAGGGTGGAGGCCTCTGTGTTTCTGGGACAGCACCTACAGGACATTAAAGACTCTGTGATCCTCCTGGACAGGGCTGCGTCTGTGCGCTGCTTCAATTGGATCCAGATGTGCACTGAGGTTGTTTTGGGCCCCTGAAACCGCGCTGAGAGCACACACACACACACACACACACATACACTCACACACACTCTGAGCTGCAGCCTCGCGCAGGTGCACTGCGGACCGCTCAACAACAATTAGCCGAGCCGTGTGATCAGGTTTATTGTTGGCTCTCAAAGTAAAACTTGTCAGGATTTGGACCACCTCTGTAACGAAATAAAAACCTCCGTGCAGCTACACAAACATTTTAAGGAGATGAAACGGTCGATTTAAACTTTTGATTCCATAATTCCCTGTAGGAGACGAATATAATGATTTTCAGGATTTAAGAGAAAATAGTTGAAAACTGCATGAGGTAGAAGAAACGCTTCGTTCAAAGCAGTCATTTTGAAGTGTTGTTTGCTTGTTTCCAAATTTAGTAAGGTAAAGAAAAATGTTGATCAATTATCAGAAAATAATATTCTGTGGAAGCGCAATCTAAATTGTCTTCCAAAATAAAGTGTTAAGTATGAACTTAACACTTCAGGTTCGAGCTGCTAAGGTTGCAAAAGTATCTTGATGTTTCGTCCATCATTTCTTAAAGAACGTCGAAATGACTAAAAACCATGCCTGATAACAACATATTGATTTTTGCCATTTCTAGCTATGTTCTAATAGAAGTGTTATGGGACGATTATAATAACAGCAATCTAACTTTGTATCAATCTGCAGCTTTCCGAAATATACTAATAAGAAATACGTCGCACAGTTACAATTATAATACAATCAGCTCATGAATCAATGAACCAGGAGACGGAGTGAGCAATATTTGAAGAATTTTGGAAGAAATATGAAGTTGAAAAAAACAAACCTGCAATAATCTGTGACGCATAAAACTAATCTTCAGCATGAAATAGCCTATACCAAAAGAGTATCATTTGATTGATGACATTATTTTTGTAAAATTACGGGCATAATTCATTTGTAGGCTTAAACTAGAACAAGTAGTTAGTTTATCAGGGCTTCATATTTTTGGGAAAACTCGAAAAGCAACATTTGAGGCAGAAAACTCAGAATGTAATCTTGGATGGTGTCAGAATAATGCATGATTAAAGACAGCACACCGAGATATAACTCATACAGGGGCTGCGAGGGAGTGCGGTCGTCTTTCAACCAGAAGGTTGTGGTTCGATCCCAGCCCATGCAGTCAACATGTCGATGTATCCTTGGGCAAGATATAACCCTGAGTTGCTCCCGATGGCATGGCCAACGGTGTGTGAATGTTAGTTCCTAGAGTAACATACACTGCTCTGTATGAATGTGTGTGAATGGGTGAACGACATGTAGTATGTAAAGCGCTTTGAGGGGTCTTAAAGACTGGATAAAGCGCTATATAAGTACAATCCATGTATCATTTACACACATCACACAGAATAGTGTGAGTATTAAAACTGGGCCTAAATATAATCTTTTTTGAACGTCCTATTCGCTTCTGGATTTAATGATACATCCCTGCAATCCAATATGTTGGTATTACTGTAAACTATAATTCTTGCAAAGTTTTTTAAATAAAACGCATTTGTCTCGTTTAAATATTGCATTTACTGTTTCCATTTCCTTACGATTTTGAATGTAAAAAACCTCCATGCATACTAGGGATTTGTATACGTATACTTCAACTGAAAACTTCGGTGAACAAATAGTTTTAAAATTCGGAATAGTTACTGCGCAATAAAATAGTCCCTCAGTGAATCCACTCTATATTTTCCTATCTGACATACATGCAATACATGAGATGTTAGCTCTCATATTGCTTCTAAACTCGATATAGCATTCTCTTGAATGTTATATCGGGGAATTCCCCTAACAGGACATCTGCAGGCTCATACACAACTGTGATCCCGCCTTGAGGCGATGTATATTATAGACTGATGTCAATTACCCGAATATTAAAATGCCGCAAACACAACATGGCGCAATAACATATCCTTTATTATGCATTGAATGCGTTTTTAGTGCGCTTTTTACGCGTATTGGCGGCGTGTATATCCATCCTCTCCTGTTCTGGGACTCTTTTTATCCTGAGGCCTGAGACTGCCCCACCAACACACCAGTGAGGGGGGGGGGTCTTCAGATAAGGCAGTGACAGCCTTTACTGCAGGCTTCTCACCGTCCTTTCCTAAAGTGCATTGTTGACATCCTCTCCATTGACCTCCATCACCTCCTCCTGTCTTGTCACAATGAACAATTATTCTCAGTCGTGAGACTGCTTTTGCCTTCCTGTCTTTTGAGTGCTGCATCAATCACAGAAAGACGTTTGTTTTGAAGCAATAATCTATTTTTGTATTATTATGAGGCTTTCTGTGCATGATATGGAGTGATTTTGTATGTCAATTATGCAGTTAAACTCGCGTTAATCCTCCCTGTGGAAAGTGCAGCATGTGGAGCCAATAGCTCATTGTTTACGTTAGCTTTATGGCTTTGACTCATCTGACTGCTGGCCCTGGGGAGCGTTTGCGCGCTGGAATTCTTAGTTTCACTGACTCATTAAATGTCATCCACGCAGGCCTGAAATTGACAGTCACGTTTAAGCTTTCACACACACACACACACACACACACACACACACACACACACACACACACACACACACACACACACACACACACACACACACACACACACACACACACACACACACACGAACACACTGCTCCGAGTCCAGAGGGGCTTTTTTTCACGCCAGAGAGTGAAAATGTCTCATCATCAGCTCCTGCAGGCTGCTGCACTGAGCAGATACAACACAACATAAAATAACGTTATTATTAGTTAACACATTAACATTGTCCAACCTGGAAACCACATGATATTCTACGGTTTTATAATTTAAATGTATTTATTAATGTTTCTTATTTGTATTATGTTTGGTTATGTTTTTAATTGAATCAGCATAGCCTACGTTTTATCATAATTTAATTTACGTCACCTATTATACCTATTATTTTTGCGTGTTTAGTTCAATCTATTCTAATATTAATATTTTCAACCTAATTTTGTTGTCTATTCACTTATTATTAATAATAATATTTATTTTAGTCTAAAATAATTGTTTTCTTAATATTGAT